TATAATAATTAGAAATATTAATTTGGTGCTTACCTTGAACTCCCTCCAATGGGTAGGGTGGAGGTCTTGGCATGTCAGTAGCACCTTGAGGGAGGAAGCCCGGACTCTGGCCCATACCCGGCAGGAACGACCCAAAGGATTCTTGTAATTGCTGCATAGCTGCCTGGCTCCTGCTGATTGTTACGGATTCAGAAGGACCAAAGCTTCGTTCCTCACTGTCGTCTATATCTGTCTTTATTAAATCTTGCTCCACACTCTGACTTAACATATCTTCTTCCTCATTAAAGTCCTGAGGCTCATTTTTCACACTACTGTCCCTGGCTTCACTTAGCACCGTTTCGTTTGTGTCTTCTGCAGAGTGTAAAGAGGCCCCCGACCGCCGTCTCTGTCGTTTAGGTGGGGGTGAGTCACTGAGGTGTGTATCAGGAGCACTACTGCCCTCTTCGGGCCGAGGCGACCCGGGGTCAGGAGGGTCTCTAGGTGGGGGAGGCGAGCTGGATTCATTGTAATTTTCAGCATCCTGAAGGAGATAAAAGAAAAAAAAATTAATATAAGATAAATATGTAAATAGTGAGACAATACTTACCTTAATATAGCAATACATTACCCAATAAACTCAAATAAACCTAAGACAGTTTATCACAGTTACAGTACGTGACTGCTGTAGAATATGATGGGGCTAACATAATCAAACTGCCAAGAAATTAGTCTTAAAAGAAATAATAAATTGAATGCATCAATACTCCTGTACATTGACATTCCAAAAGGTTTCTATATTCTTGTAAAGACCCAATGACATGGCAACAAGAATTGAAGCACAGACACACACCATCGTACGATTTTTTCCAGAATAAATTTTATGTGAAAATACTTTTCACAAAAAAAATATTGGTTTGAAGAATTGGTTTGAAATTGTTTGAAGAACAATCCAACAGCGTATTACATCTTCATGACACCATGAATTCACTTGGGAATATCATGAAGAACAAAAATTTTTCCCAAGTGATAAATGATTGTTTCCCAGCGTTTCCAAGAAGTCTTTTCAGCAATAGGCCAACTGCTGACCTTTCCCAGGATGCAATCCACAATAGTTGCCAAACTTCTGAGTGCCTATTTACTGCTCATTGAACAGACATAAAAAGTGAAAGGAAATGTGCCTAAATACTATGTCCAATGCTGGAATTTTGTTTGAACCAACTGTGCTACAGGCCCACTTGTATTTACTGATTATATATCAATACAAGGTGTACAAGCAAGACAGTCCCATTATTAATTTCCACATTCAATTTTTAGCTACATTTATCTTAATACAAAATTACCAAAGTAATCAGTATCTACTAAAAATATTTATTTCTACAATAGCATACAGTTTTTAGGGGCACTAAATTTTTTTTCGCAATTTAAATTTAATACAATACCAGTAAAGAACTGTACTTTGTACTGTAAAAACTAAGTTTTTTTTAATGCAGTTAATTATGGAAGGTATTCCATGTTTTAATCCTGGGCTAACAGCATTTAGCATAATAAGTGTGATATATGCTCACAAATACTAATCTTGCCAATACGTTTTGGTGCAAATCGAGAAGGTGAGAGCTCTAGAAATTTTCACCAAAACAGAGTAAGACATCCCAGGCCAGCATACAATTCGAAATGTTTACCGTGTTATAACTAAAATGCGTACAATAATGACATGGTACTGCAATAAATACAAGGAATACAATTATTACAAGGCACTGTAACAGCATAATTTTTTTGGTTAGAAGTACTGTATACAAAATATATATATATTTTTGTAGAAAAACAAAATGCCTATTATATTTTTGTATTCAAGAAATTAATTTACATAAAGGTGGAAGAGGAACGTCGCCTTTACCCTAAACCAGGGATCTCGAACTTTTCAGTAGGGCCACATTGTATATTTTACATACTTTCATAACCCGAAGAAATAATTAATTGTATAAATGGATGAATAAGTTTTAATTGGATCTTTTTTTGGGTAGTCAGTATAACAAACATGAAATGTGCCAACTACAAACAAAGGATGCAATCTTTACACTAAGAATTAATGTATTATGAGAAAATGTCAAACCTTAAGAAATGTCCTGAATAAGAATCATTTACCTATCTCCATTTTTTAAAGCAAATTTATTTATCTCCATTTTAGAAAAGCAGGCCATTCATTTGTTATTGTTTCTATTTATAGAAATTTTATATGTTTACTTGAAATGATAATTTGCCCAATTTTGAACATATTCAGGAAAATAAACATGCCACAAGCAAGAAATTTAGTAAAACAAATCCATCAAATCGAAAAATACTTTAATCCTTCAAGAAAGATCAAACAAAAATAAATTTAAGGCTTAGCAGACATCATTAATTGTTGATTCACAGGGTAATGTGGTTATAATCATTTGAAGATTTAAATAATTACTGTCTGGGTTTTAAATGTATGATGCAAATATGGATATAATAGGTCTATTTGGATGTAATGAAGTTAACCTTAACCCACGAAAAATATCCTGCTATCATTTCATGGTATGAATGTGGTTATAGTCATGAATAGCTGCTAGGTGAAAGCGGTCATCGTCATATGACGATTTAAACAATTATTGCTTGGGTTTTACATGTATGATGCACATATGGAAATTATAGCCCTTGTGGATGTAGAGAAAAATAAGTAGTAAAACAATCAGTGAAAAATTCAAGGATAAAACAGGAATCATCAACAGAGTCAAGTACCAGGTGTTGAAAAGTGCCAGATGCAGCCTTGCAGAGGGCCTCCACCCAGTGAAACTAAATTAAATTATTTTTTTTATTTTCTTACATTTTGTATACAAATTAATAATTCTATATTCTATATAACATTTTTGGAGGGAAGGGGGGGATAAAAAAAATTTTGCATAAGCCGGTATGAATATTTTTTCATAGCCGCTGTCTAAGGGTTAAAAAAGCATATGGCACATGTGACTGAAAATGAGGGCTTTGCCACACTGACATGACTACATACTGGCTTCGTGTAATATTGGAAGGCGTGCAGTGGACTGTTACTAGATGTGTCAATTGTCATAACCATGTGGTTGAGAAAAATGAGGGAAATTTATTATATGCAAGTAAGTATATATATATATCTGGATAAACTTATACTTGCGTGTACCCGAGATGATAATTTGATAAGAGGAACGTCAAAATATTCCAATAACACTAAAACAAGTCTTTCACCGTGAAGTTCCCAAAAATATATATATTTTTTGGGGGGAAGCAGTGTGGACATAGCTTATAAGGAGACCTTCCAGAGAACATATTGGCTATCTAAAGAATAATAGCTTTGTAAGTTACCAACCAGAAAAGTATGAAAGCTATGGTTGTTTTCTTTTAACAGAAACATACTAATAATGTGCACACATTTCCATGTCCTAAATTTTTATTTATGATGAAAAATTCACAAAGAATGTTGAGAAATATATGAGGAAATGTTATTAAAAATTTATATATTCGGCACTGTCATGCAACTTCCATTACCAAATCACATTTTATTTTTCATCTATCCTCTTGTAAATTCATTTGCAAACATTTTGACACCAAATTTATTGTAATAACCCAAAACTGATAAAATATCGAGCATAAACATTTTCGAGGTCACTGAGAGGGACCCTGTGATGCCTTGAACGTTTACGGTTAAGTGTGTGTCGAGAGGTCAGGACATTAAAATATTAAAAATAACAAAAATAATCAGCTCTTTTCACAGGAAGACGAAAAAATTCCCAATTTTTTTTCTTCAATGTTCATATTTTTTTCACAATTTCAACTTCAGGAGTATTTAAAGTGAACTGTTAAAATATCAATGTCTACATAAACACTGAATTCTAAGGAAAATTCAACATAAAAAATTAAAACGGAATTGGATCGGAATTCTCGGTAGAATGAACATGTTTAACCCCAATTAAACCTTTCATGTAAGTTGGCAGTGAACGGTTATGTGATCCAATTAGCTTTTGATGGAACAAATTTGATAACCAAATTAAAAAAAATGGATGCAACTGAATATATAATGCACCAGGTGAGCCTGGACCAACTATTTTGGATAATCAAAAATCAATTTGTGCATTACTAATACTACATATCAGTTCAAAATGGATGTTGCTACAGATAGCTACCATTTCTTAAATTAAAACAACAGTAGTCTTTAGAGATTTTGGCTAATACTAAATTTTAACTGAAGTAGTAAATGATATAGATAATAAACTTACTTTCTTTTTTTCATCTTCTGCAAGTCCTCTAACTTTGAGTGCTTCAGCAGTCTTTAGGAAAGTTGCCAGCTCATTGTGTGATACATTGACTTCTCCATGATACATGAAGTCCAATATTGAAGTCAGATTGGCAAAGGTCACATCTTTAAGAAATACTATAGGGTGCTGACATGGGTTACCCTGCAAAGACAAATTTATAAACATTAGAAAATAAATACTAAAACTAAAGTATAGTGTATATGAACTTGTATATATTAACAGTACAGTACTGTATTGGCATTTTGTCAATAAAAACATTTTGCTTTATACTTACTTTTAGCAAACTTCTGAAGTAAGGACTACAGGCACTAAGGACCATTTTGTGTGCTTTTATCTGTCTGCCCTCGCAGGCAAGTGTGATATCGACAAAGTCCTCGTCATCTCTCAAGGACTCGAATGCTGAGGTAATGTTAGTGTGAAAATTGTTCCATCGGAGGCAAAACTGCTGATCTGCCCCCATCCTCGCCCCCCTCCACCTTGTATACTATCTAAAAAGAGAAAGAACAAGCCATTAAAATTTTTAGAAAATGCATACGTAATAACAGTTACATTTATATGAAGTTTTTTCAAACGTTTCAAACAATTTATAAATGATGTTAAGGAAGTGCCCAATTTATCTATCCATACTGATATCCTGTTTAAACAAACTGGTTTATGTACAGCATCAGTTCTTAATATTTTTTTAAATCCATAAAATTTACCTATTTTCCATTATGAAATTCTGTTTTAATAAGTCAAAAAAGTTAGAATTACAGTATAAACAAACTAATGAGGACATTGTATCTGAATAAGGAGGACTATTAATACATGCTAATCCACCAGTAATTGAAGATAGTTTTAAAATTAATATTTGAATAATTGTAGCCGAAGCTCAACCTCGCAAGAACAAGTAGAAGAGTACAACTAGGCGAGTATAGTACATAACCCCCTAAAGACGACAAAAAAAAGTTTATATATAAAAAAAAAGTTCTGACAGTGTTGTTCTAAGATCTTCACAAAATTGTGCTCAAAAGAGCAATTTTGCTGCCAGCAGATTGACAGATGAGAGACGAGACAAAAGAGCCACAGCGCAACCCCTGCAAGCACACCTAGGCGAGTACCTTTCTTTGCATCTAGTTTAAAAAAATCACAGAAAATCTATTTATTATGAATTCTTCACGTTGACAATTGCATATGATAGAGCATTTATTGGTGAACAATTCCATATCAAAGGCAAAGCTATATGACCATTATTGGTGGGAACAACATTATGTAATGACCATGTGACAGCATAATAACATTCACTTCTATTGTGTATATATTTTTATAATATTAGTACTGTATTTTATTATATAATTTGTAAAATATTATATTGTATTTAAGTTTGATTCAAGGTTTTTAAGCACTGTATAATAGTTTACACTTTGACTTGGTTATCATGGACAATACTAACACAGCTGCCTCCCAACGCTCGTAACAGTGACCACTTGGACAAACAATCCACACTTAATCAGACATTTGTATGTTCCACGGAACAATCTGTACCAAACATGATTTGTTTGAACCATTCAGGAATTCGTTAAGAGTGAGGTTCATTAGAGCAAGGGTCCACTATACTTATGAATGAGTGTAGGTACAACAGTATTTTGACAACCCAGTTGCAAATATGCTACAATAATAGTGGCGTCTCGATTAACGAGTTTAATCCGTTCCGGCACCGAGCTCGTCATGTGCAAAACTAGTCTTGTGAAACAACAACAAAACTCTCGTCGGTGGTGTCCGAGAACCAGCGGGAACGCTCGTCAGTTGAGACATATTTTCTGTGAGGGACTTGCTCGTAACTGGAGCCGCTTGTCACTCAAGGTTCCGTTGTACACTTAAGCAATGGCTGAAGCTGAAGAATGCTTGGCTTCTCACACACAACACAGAAATCCCCAAAGCTACTTAACTTTCTTGCATATAATTAGTCCTGTCAACTCTCAAAAACACTTACTTTGAACGCCACCAATAAGGATCTACTGTAATGCAAATCACCTGGTAACTAAGCTACACTATTTTCCTTGCCTCTCAATTCAGACAAAATCTGAATTATGATTCTTAAATGTTAGCTTACTGAATGATGCAAATCAGGCTCTGTTTACTATAACTGTACAAAAATGCATTTAAACAGTTTAATTATAATAATAAAATTATACACTATCAAATATTACAACAAACTGATCCCAATCCTGTCAGCTAGCTACAGTGTTTCTACAATCTCGAGCACTACAAGGATACACTCAGTATCTGAATGATTTTCTTCACTGGAAAGTCCTTTATTGAAAACTTGGCTCATTTTTAGTGAATAAGCAGCCCATCCTCCTGTTTAGATAGTACTGTACTTATGGTAACAATGTGGACCATCATACCCATAGATGTAATGGACAACTAGAAAATAGCTCGGTACTATTGAATTTGGACAAACTGGAAAAGATTTTGTATTTATGTTAATAAAACCTTACCTTTCCTAGCCATCCTAGGCCTAAAACATGCTACAGTATCTGAGACTTAATATAGTACATGAATGTGCTATATTAAGCCTAAGTATATTTAAGTTTGATTTAGCTATATTTGTTCTGGACTAAAAAGTGAATAGTACCAAATCCTACCATCAAATTGTCCATTACATCAATACAGTATATGTAAGATGGTCCATAGTTACAAAAAAGTACAATCTAGACACAAGGATGGGTTGTAACAAGACACACAGGAGCAGCACCAATCAGCCTAAAGGTCCTAATGACCCAGTTTAAAGTATGACAGCTCAAGATTAAATTGTTCAGAGAATTAATGTGTGATATTAGGAAAGGCAATGAGGGCAAGGAGGAGGAGGAATCTGCATCACAAGTTGTAAAATACAACTCCCTTACAACAAGCATTGATCACTTAATGAATTATGTGTCAAAGCTATGTAAATCTAATGAACAAATCCACAAGGGCCGTGATGAGGGTTCAAACCTACGCACGGAATGTTCCCGGATGCGCCTTAGTCAACTGTATCACGACATGATTCCATGTTGTGGTACAGTTATCCTAACTGTACAGCTATAACTGATACAGTTATCCTAACTGTTATCCTAAAAGTTATCCTATTTTACTATATTATAAATGTAAATAACAACACTGTACAGACAAGCACTTAATCAAGATCTTAATACTGTATAGTATCTATCTATCTATACCAAGACAAAACAAGGCCAAAGTGATTTTTCTGAAATAAATTATTGATTTTGAATTGCATTCATATTAATTTCAATTTTAAGAGTTCAAAACACTACCGTAACTTAAAATTATTATACCATTTATTTTCTTTCGCTTAAGGATACCATCACAATACGCAAAAGTACTGTATTGTGTTGCTATTTTCCAAGTAGAAAACTAAACACTGATGTGTTCTTTGACAAGCCCACGGAACACTGCTATTTTAATACAGTACAGGATAATGTAAACTAAATGTTCAGCGTGAAAACATCACAAAGATCCAGAAAAATGGCAAGACGTGCTGCAATGCCCGCTAAGTACTTTAAGCACTAGCATGTTAACTGAAATCAATCTAGCCATCTAATACTCTAGTGTGCATCACTCTTGAAATAACTAGATGAGAGAACAGTGGAAAATAAATTGAAGTACAGTATTGTATGTACAGGGCACCATAACTCAATGATCAGCGGTGGTCACTATTTAAATACATACTGAACATACAGTACATAACATTGTACCCACTTTTGAAGACTAAAATATCTATCCTTTAAATTTTATTAATCTTGTTTAGGCCTATCAAGATTCCTGTAAACTTATTCTGCAATATATTACATTCCAAATAATTTAACCTATTAAAAACAGAATCTCTTCCATGGGTTCAATATCAGTATTTGCCCTAATAACTATCAGGCTTTAGTAAAATTCGCTAAAAAATAGTTTCCATAAAATTAGTAGTAGTACAGTAGTTCCAACTACCTATAAGAAACAGTAGTTCCATTTATGGCTTACTCCAAGTTAGAAACAGAACAATTTGACCTGATACTGATCTTCCTGCTTTTAGCAGCAAGACTAATACTGTATTTGAATTAGTCTATAATTTTTATAGAACCTAATTTAGTTTAATTTTAAAATGTGAAATTAAAAACGACAGGATATTGTCTTGGCAGCAAAACCGAGCTTTTCGTAGATCAAAAAGTAACCACTTTGATCCTGCTATGAGGATGGGTATGGGGTGTATAATAAATTATGGCTACTGTATAATTTACGTTTAACATATTAGGAATCGTACAATAATATGAAGTTATTGGGAATTGTTAGGCAGTTCATATTTTCAGCAGAAAAAATCTTGGTATTACTTGAAAACACTATTAAATTATAATATTTTTTTTATTAACAAAACTATTAATTAAAAAAGTGTAATATTATAAAACAAGGAACACTTTATAAAAAATCATTACCTCCCCTAAAGATTATAATTATGTCGGATACAGACTTATGCGGGCACCAATATGTTATAGCTCGGTATCTAAGGGCAGCAGCACTGTATACATAACTCCCGGCAAGGATAAGATAGTTAAGAGAAATGTTAGTTTCAGAAAGATCAAGAAAGTTAGTTGATTTAGAAATGTTTGAAATCTCATTTCATTTATGAGAAATGAAACAGTATACAAATACACTGTATACGAGATAGATATTATAATCTACTTTAAATTCTGGAAAACCTTATAGGAATTACTGCACAGTTTGGCATATTTTCTTTCACAAACCCTGATCAATTATTACAATGTAAACTCAATATCTGCAGTTAAAATTTTAACCCAATGTCGAGTACTGGAAATGGGAAGTTATTTAGCTATACAGGTACTGTACAGTACAGTATATAATATTAATGAAATTGTCCCAAACTGTAGCATACCAGTACAAATTACAATAAATTTAATTAATGTACCGTTTCTGCTGCAGTGTCTAGGGTGACATCAACAGACTTATCATGCAACCCAAACTTTCTCTCAATACTAAAATATTTACCAAGGAAATTATGTTCTACCAAAAGGTCTAGGTAAGACCCTAAACACCGAGATTTTTTTTTTTTTACACAGGTGGGAACAATAGAGGACTTCTAATTCTTATTAGCAGGCATAGAGCTTTACCTTACCTTAGCTCATAAGCCATATCCAGCCTTATGATAAACCCTACTACTTCCCCCGCAACAGGACTCGATAATTAGACGAGAACCAGGTATCCAATTATTGCTGGGTGAACAGAGAACACCTATTGAATATTGCCTAGTCATTCCTCCCTGGCCAGAACCCAGACCAAATTGCTCACAAGGTGACGGCATAGATTTGGATAACAATTGGATAACAAGGTACAGTATAGCCTACACATCATTTGTGAATGGCAGTGGTGGTGGAGGCAGACTCCATACAGTTTCAAATGTAGATATAAGAGCCCAATAGGCACAGGAATCTACACCAGTTGATTGACAGTTGAGAGCAGGACCAAACAGTCAAAGCTCAACCCCCGTAAGCACAACTAGGCAAGAACAACTAGATGAGTACTTATCCTTATCAGTTTCAAATAAATACTTGGAAATGCTTTATCTTTAGTACAGTTAAGAGAAATATATTAAAATATTCATTATAATTATATTCATAAATTTACTGAAGCAACTTCCCTAGCATATAATAGGATTGCACAAAGCAACATTTGATAAGGATAATTGTTTTCCTATATTCAAGTTGTGTGGTGCCCTATTGGCCTGTATCCAGCATATTCCTTATGTTAGGGTAAATTCATAATTCATATGATTCTCAAGTTACTTTCCAAACAGAACCAAGTTTTCAATATTAGCCACTTTCTAAAATATGGACCGCCAATAAGGTCTATATGCACTGCACACTTATGCAATTTTCAGGAGAAAATCACAGAATTGACGAGGTAATAACATTTACAGTATCCATCGTTAGAATAGCTGTATGGATGTAGCACAACACTTTTTACCCAAATTACACAGCACTGAGAAAAAATACATAGATTCTCACCTACTGAATATGGCATTACCAATGGATACGGATCATCTTGTACACCAGACAATTCATACATAGATTTTCTTACCTAACATTTAGGCTGTCGGGCATTAAATCAGTGCTACATCAAGCCTACACAAGCATCTATGTTGGGTTTCTACATAGATATCAGTGGTTCTCAAATAAACTACTGTACTGAATAAATTAATACAGGTTACTCGGTCCGTCTAATTACCACAAGCTACACAAGCTTCAGAAAGCTTCCTGGCAATACGTTAGTAATGAATAAATATGATATATTTACTCATTATAATGTTGGTGCTGAATGTACAACACGAAAAAACAATTTTAATCTGAAAAAGTATCTTTTTATAAAGAAATTAGACGAAAATAAAAAGCTGGTGACGCCAAATCAAGTCGACGATCCAAGCTTCGGCTAGGTTAGGTTAGGTTTGGTTTAGTTAAGTTAGGTTAGGTTAGGTTAGGTTAGGATAGGTTAGGATAGGTTAGGTTGGGTTAGGTTAGGTCAGCCTAACTTAACGTATCATTTATTTATTACTAACGTATTACCAGGAAGCTTTCTGAAGCTTGTGTAGCTTGTGGTAGCTTGTGGTAATTAGACGGACCCCAGGTTACTTCATATCCAAGACCATTTGCCAATAGATTTTGAAATCTACCAAACCAAAACAAACATAAGCCAAGTTAATAGCACATATGATTTTTAACTTTTAAAAAACTAGCTCTGTCAAAATACCTGTGTTGCCCCCCCCCCCCCACCAACTGTCCCATTTTCTCAAGTATGAATACTGTATAACAGTAATGGAGCTAGCATAAATTAACCCATATTAATAAATGTTTATGTTAAAATGTTAAATGTTGTAATTTTTCATTGAATTGTAATAAAAAATTGAAATATTAAATATTTAAAATTTAGCAAGTTTACCGAGATGATAATATACATCAAGAGGATGGAGTAGCTTAGGCTATTTTTATCCTCATTAAAGATTAATAATACTTTTGAAATAATGAGCATATATAGTTCCACCGTGAACATGTAAACACACTGCTGTATGTAGAAGCAAAATAAACTGTAAAGCATAAATATGTGAACGTGTCAACAACATTATGGCAAAGAGAATTCATTTCTCCCTGTCTTTTCATGATATTCAATTTCTTTTATGCATGCCAGGGTACAGCTGGTGCAACCTGAACTCATTATATATAGTGAATGTGTGAAACTTGTACATTGTACGTGCATTAAGCATTTCCAATACTAATACTGTATTATGGTTTTCAAGTGAGAACACAGTATATGGAAAAAATCATCCATACAGCAACAATGTCTGTATACACTATCAAAATACCCCATTACATACCTATTAATATGGCCACTTTCCAAAACTAAGGCCGATCTATAACATTTGTAACACTTCCATGGTCACTCACATTTAACTTTTTGGGCCAAAACCCTAAACATTCCGATTTCAATTAAATTTGAAAAACAAAAATTGTATAAAACTATATTTATACAAAAACTTATTAAATGCATAGTATTTCTCACAATATGCACTACTGTAATTGATATCAACAAATCTGTTAAACACTAATTATACTAATCCACTGTCAAACCTTTACCAAGGATTAAACTTGACCAGCATCAATTCCACTATACACATGGAATTTAATAGAAATAAACAGCAGAAGTAGCCTGCAAGTTGTATTTAAAAAATAAAAATATGAAAGAATGACATAACAGTGCAACTGTTTTCTCCACAAAATGCCCACAAGTAAACAAATTACAGCAGGCGAGAAACTCACTTCACTCCTCGGCTGGTGCATAAAAGCTTGCCAAGTTTGCAACTTTGTGTTTTATAAACAAACCATTTCGACACACACGAGTGTGGCCTGGGGAGAGAGAGTTAGCACAACACTGGGGGCCGCGCCAGCATCACGCTCCCCACACCTCACGAACAAAGGCAGTAATTCCAGCCTCACGCATATCGTTTACTGGGCCCCAAAAGATATCCCCCCACACACACAAACTTCAAATTTACTGATCAATCGCAGGCCAACCCTCCGAAAAAGGTATAGCAAAAGCCCGTAGTGGCCGCCCTGGCTAACACCCACTGCACTCACTCACGTTATTAGCCACATTAGCAAGCTGCGTGCGATAATTTAGGGTGTAGCCCGCGGGGTTGTGCGAGCAAGAGGGCGGGCAAGAAATGGGCGCCTTTGGGTGTTTCTTTGTCTGTCCCCGAGGGCTGCCCGAGCCGCGATCTCCCCAGATGCCATCATCTCGCATTTTAACACTCTCCTCGGCCGCGCTTTACCGCCACGAAAATTCTACACACACACAAAAACCCAAAGTCGGACAGCCTCCAATACCTAATTCGTTGTCAAGGCATAGGGGGGAACAAGTTTCAGAGGGAGGCAAGGTAAGTTACGAGCTACAAGGAATAATTCCGACTCAGCAACTGCAGCGCGCGTCCCCTCCCGGCAACGGACGCCGCCAAACGCCCAAATCCCGGAACACGAAATTCAACTTCCGATTTTCACATATTTCACCCATAATTCAAAGAACTTCACGACAAAATTTACACCGGAATAATCTCTACGCGAAGCCTCAACTAATGGTACAACTCTAAACCGTAAACAAGGCGTATTGCCAAAATTACGGGAGGGAAATAAATCATACTCACATATCACAGCCAGACAGGAACGTGCGAGACGCTTGCAAATGGCGGGAGGCGCTGGGCGGAGGAGTGACGCACTTGTGACGTCATCAATCAATACACGCCTGGGCAGTAAGTCTTCACAATCTCCTCCAAATACTCTCAAATCATTCTGCCAGTTTTTTAATCTTATATTAAATTTCTATACGCTTATAATACCACTCCATCCACCGCATTTAAAAACATTTATTTCCTAAGAAGTACTACCCGAGATCTGGCACTCTATTTGAAAAGCCACACGGGAGCCACACACTCACTCTCCCGTTATCTTTGGCGTCTAAATCTATTTATCTCGAGATATTTATTTATATTCAAATTTTCCATGTGTTCTGTGCACTGCTTTACATTATATAAGCTAATCTACTACTGATTAATAGGCATACAGACTTCCAAAAAGCTTCATATAAGCGGGACAACTTTAATCCAGGAACCATAAACCTTAACTCTTACTCAAGCATAGTCATGCAGAATGCTATATATATAACGCATTTTTTTAGTGTTTTCTTATATCTGAATCCATCAATTTATCAAGAAACTATAATCCTTCGATGAGAAACATGTGGAATTAGTTTTGAAGGATGCTGCTCACGATCCGTATTGAAAACATATTATACTAGGTTTCATTTAGTGTTGGGCCTATCAGCCTCTGGAGGATTATTAATTAAAGTCACCATAATAGCTTATTGATCAATTATATATGTACAGTATACACCGATCGACAAGCGGGGTACAGCTTAAGTTTGTAGAAAGTACATGTATATAAATCGCATACATGTATATAACCTACAGTGTAAAATATTAATAAGAAAAACAAATACATGCTGTAACATATAAAAGTATGACTCACTTAATGTCAACAATTCACAATACAGAAGTATTATCTTGGTACTATGATGATAAGTACTATTATGATAAGTACTATCTGTATATCTTGGAAAACAGGCAACTTTATGAAATATTACAAATATACTACAGGTACAACATATATGTCACATAAGAGAGAGACATCATATGCCATATAAAGACAAATATAGCATTATATAAAAAATAAAGACAAATGTCGTTATACAATAATGAGGCATATTGTATAAAACCTACCTTTGTATGACAAAATAATTACACTGATTTATAAATTAATATCAGATACTGACACAGCTTGGTGTACAATACCATACTCCACACACACACAGCGTGATGTAAAATGCTGACACAGCATGATATAGAAAACACATCATTATATAAAATACTGACACACAGCATGATATAAAATACTGACACACAGCATGATATAAAATACTGACGCACAGCATGATATAAAATACTGACGCACAGCATGATATAAAATACTGACGCACAGCATGATATAAAATACTGACACACAGCATGATATAAAATACTGACACACAGCATGATATAAAATACTGACGCACAGCATGATATAAAATACTGACGCACAGCATGACATAAAATACTGACGCACAGCATGATATAAAATACTGACGCACAGCAAGATATAAAATACTGACGCACAGCATGATATAAAATACTGACACCATGAGGTAAAAAATTGACACACACACACACACACAACATGATATGAAATACTGAAACTCAGCATAATATAAAATGCTGACACACAGCGTGAGGAAATACTGAATCAGCATATAATATTAAAACCCATAATGACAATGACTATAAATTAAATCATTTATTTGTTATTTATTAATTATTTGTTAATTAGTTATTAAATTATTATTACTTATTATGAATTAAATATTTATTAGCAATACGCCAACACACACACACACACACACACACACACACACACACACACACATATATATATATATATATATATATATATATATATATATATATATATATATATATATATATATATATATACATGCGCGAACAAGCCTGAATGGTCCTCAGGACAATATGCAACTGAAAACTCACACCCCAGAAGTGACTCGAACCCATACTCCCAGGAGCAACGCAACTGGTATGTACAAGACGCCTTAATCCACTTGACCATCACGACCGGACAAAATGAGGTGATAGCCGAGGCTATTTGAACCACCCCACCGCCGGCACTCGGATAGTAATCTTGGGCATAGCATTTTACCAAATCACCTCATTCTTTGGGGCACACGTGAGGAACACAAATGCGAACAAGCCTGAATGGTCCCCAGGACAATATGCAACTGAAAACTCTAGTTAGTTATATATATACATATATATATATATATATATATATATATATATATATATATATATATATATATATATATATATATATATATACATATATATATATATAACATAATTAAATATAGCACACAATTCCCGAAGCAGGACACATTAGCCTCTGAACAACATTTCCTGTCACCTGACGCATCTCTTCACCTAGTAGGAAATAGGTATAGCTGGGACTTAATTAACTGGTTGCGTTCTGGGGAAGGTCAGTAGTTGGAATTGGGCCCCTTAACAATAGGTGAACCATAAGGGAAACCATAGGCCATTATTTTACATATTTTCATTGTCATGTGAAATACTTCGCGTGTTACCTTGTGTATTACTTCACTTTGCTAATCTCCATTATTTTTGCCTATTCATTAAACACAAAAATATGAACTCGTATGTATAGTGCCTAAGATTTGCATAAAGAAAGTTTCATTCATAAGCATGTATTACACTAAGTTTCATTCACAACCGGGGGGGTTTGGCGGCTGGAGTAGCGAGTGTTTGGTCTTTGTTTATGCTGTCGTCAAACCTCTTGTTTATGAATGAATAACATTCTACACACGACTCACAAATGCAGCCCGTCCTCATAAACAAAGGCAAAAGTTCATTCTATGCACCCGCCAAACCCCCTGTTTATGAATGAAAACAGTTTACACCTGACTCCCAACTGATGACGTCTGAACACTTCCGGAAAAAGTGCTTTGCTGACGACTTTTGTTCGAACTACCAGCCCGTCCTCCAAACAAAGATCCAAAAGTGATTCCATGCACCCGCCAAACCCCCTGTTTATGAATGAAAAGCGGTTTACACACGACGGACAACTGATTTCGTTCGAACCTTTCCAGAACAAGTGCTTCACTGACGAATTTTGTTCGAAGCACAACGCTGTAAATGCTTCATCCACTTACTACAAATACAAATAATCGCCAACAGAACCTAAACACCTAACCTATGCCTATAAATGCACAATATGCTAATATATTATAATATTAATTTATATTTGAGAAAATTCCCGTTTTGAATGAACAGCATGTTACAATTTATGAATGCGTTTTTGGGGTCGACTGCTGGATGGAATGGGTTTGATCTGAGGACGGGTTGAATAAAACCTTAATCAATAATCAAACGAAACCCCATTCTTGTGACTTCAAATAAAAGAAAGTGCAAGTTATTCAATTGTACAAATCTCTGGTGCGCCTACATTTGGACTACTGTGTCCAAACACGGAGACCTCATTTTAGAAGGACATACCTGCCATGGAGAAAGTATAACGTAGAGCAGGAGAAATCATATTAGAACTAATTAATTAATTTAAGTCGACTCTCGTACTTTACCAAAAACGGTTGAGGGCCACAGGGCTAACAATACTCATAAACCTTTAAAATTTCTGTTACTCCAAACTTTCTCTGCAAACTCCTGCCAATACTTGCTCCTAATTTCCTTTCTCTTCTCCCCACACAGCCTAGCAACTTGAAGGAAATCTAGCAAGGCGTAAATAAAGTAAGGGGTAAAAAGCATAATTTTGTTGCACATCCTGACCCGCAAGGAATTGCAAATGGTCTCGTAAATAAATGGGCGGAAACTGCCAAACTTAGTTCATTACCCGCTGTAACGAGAGAGTCACTAGATTCTTGGAAAGATCTAAGAAAGGATTTTATACTTACAGCAGGTAACAGTGGTGATGTCACTTGCACAGGTATTACCAAAGAAGAACTAATAACGGCGATTAAAGTTGGGAAATCTACCGCCCCTGGGGAGGATGAGTAACTTATGAAATACTTAATGAACTTGCCACTATGACGATAAGCCCACTGTTAGACCTCTTTAATATTAGTTATAAAGAGGGCAGTATTCCCAGTAAATGGAAAAAAAGCTATGATCATCCCTATCCCTAAAGCCAATGGAGAGTACAGACCTGTGTCCTTAACCTCGTGTTTTTGTAAAATGATGGAGAGGATCATTTTAAATAGACTTTTATATATAATAGGTGATATAGACTTTTATATATAATAGGTGATTATGTCTAGTAATTTGTTCGGGTTCCTCAGAGGAAAGAGTACCTCTGACTGTATTATTAAATGTCTAGCTAATGATAATGATTATTATAGAATTTTTATTGATTTACAAGGAGCTTTTGATAAAGCCAACAAAGAGGTTATTGTATGTATTAACACGATGTACTGAACGGGGTGAGAATAGCTTGAGTTACCTCATCCCTTTGTGTGTATTTTACATCAATAAACTTATTTCAATTTCAGTTTCAATTTCAAGAGGTTATTTTATATGAATTAGCTGGTCTTGGTGTTAAAGGGAGATTATTGCGCTGGATAGGGGATTATCTTTACGAAACGAAGGCTCAGGTGTGGTATCAAGGTTGTATGTCAGATGTGAGATCTTTTGAACTCGGCACACCTCAGGGAGGAGTGTTGAGTCCCACCCTGTTTAATGTACTAATGAATAAGATAGCACCTGAGAGATATTCAATGATATTAATGAGAGGTGGGGGAGCTAATGAATTATTCCTCTCGGTTAAAAAGGTGGGAAGTAATGAACAATGTATGAAGAAGAAAAGAGCATATATGAATACCTTATGTTCTAATGTTATTAAGTATGATGTTATTACAGAGTGTATTGCTGTGCCCAAGAGAAAATTCATACCACCATGGGAGGATTGTAATGTAGATGTAGTAATTACTCCCTTGCAAAAGAAAAAAGTATGTATGAAATAGGAGAGCTGAGGGCAACATATGATTGTATAATTAGAAAATTGCCTACAGAAAACACTCTACATGTATA